CAAAACAAACAAACAGTCAACATAAAGTAAGCTATAAAAAAAAATGCTTGTGTGTATATGAAAAGAATGTTGAAGATATCTTTTATGAAAATAGAAAATATGTAAAGTATAATTTACATAAAAAAACTAAGGTACTGGAGAAAGCTGCGAGCAGAGAAATTAAGCAGACCTTTGATTGAGGGTCTCCAGGAAAAAACAACTCTCATACCACATATCAATACTTCATTGTCGAAGGATGAATAGAATATTCGTTAACGTCTAGAAGTAGAAACTACCAGAATTGAAATAGAAGCTTTGGAATTAAGAGCAGAGGACCGTTTAGTTAAATATGCAAAAGTAGATTATTCAGTAACAGAATTTTTAAAACATTAAACGAACAATGACCATCTATATGAATCTGTAATAAAGTACTGGAAGACTCCTTGTCAGAAGATTTGGGAGAAAAAAGAAGTTTGGTTTTGTAAACAAATGAATATAGATAGGCAAGATCCAGAAAAAGGAAGAGTGCATAATTTCAAACATGCCGAAAAGTCAAAGGAATTTGGAGAAGAAAATAGCAGAAATAAAATCAATAAAAATGTAAGAAAATATGAGAAGAAAGGCATTTTAGCTTTTGGAAAATACGAAGATGATGAAAGAAGATGGGAAATTAATACAAGAAGAAACAATAGACACAGAAGAAAAAGAGAGGTAAACAATGGAAAATTAATGAATAAAAGGGAAAATATATGTAACAATTGAAGAGAAAATAAAGAAAGAAAAAACATCTATTTTCCCCAGTAGGGACCTTAAAAGTGTTGAATTTGAGTTTAAAATGTTTGTCAGGAGAGGAAATTAAACTTTTAAAGAGAAGACTTACCTTTACCCCAAATAATAAACCAAATTAATTTAAGATTAACAGAATTTGTAAAGAATAATGGTGATAATGATGGATCTTTGAAACAAATAAAAAGTAATTTTGTACCTTCAAAAGGAATAAATTTAGAACTTGATGTAATTTGTAGTCGTATAGAAAATACGTGTTGTGATATTCTTCCGGTTAAAGACAATATTTCAATAAAAGAAAGAAATGTATTAAATAACCTAAATACAAAAAGTGATAAAGTTTTTGTTATTATGGATCAAGAGTTTTATGGTAATATGGTCTTAGAACATTTAACTAATAAAAAACTTATAAAGTTATGTCCTCCATAGATATCCAAAAATTTGTAAATAAAGTAAAAGAAAAAATAAAGAATATATAAAAGATTTTAAATATGTATATACTAAGAAAGGAAATGATTATTTGTTGAGTAATCATAAACTGGGAACATTTTATGTATTACCCAAAAATTCATAAAAGTAAAGAAGTTAAGAAATTTTAGAATAAGATAAGGTGGAATATCTTTGGATAAAGAGTCCTCCAAAAATGTCTGTAAAACCAATTATAGGTGGGGAAAAAAGGTGATTGAGCAAGCCACTGAGCTCTATTATGGACATAGTTTTAAAACCATTTACATCTAAAGTACAAAGTTATATAAAAGATGATACTGATTTTATTAATCACTTACCAGAGAAAATTGGAAAACATCATTTTAATATCATTAGATGTTGTTTCTTTTTATCCAGTTATCTAATATGAATATGGTATAAATATATTGAATGTTATTTAGATAGATAACCAGATTTATTACATTCACGTTTTAATAAAGAAGTGATAATTAAAAGTTTAAACCTTATTTTAAATTATTGCTATTTTGTTTATAAAGGCAACATCAACAAATTTCAATGGGAACAAAAGTGGCTCCAGCTTATCCCACTTTAGTGAGGGAATATTTTGAAATTGAAATTTTCAATAGTTTATCAAATTATTTTGAAAGTAGTTATATTAATTACTTGAAGCAAAACTGGAAAAGGTTTCTAGATGATTGTTTTCTATTATGAAACAGATACTTTAATCTTGGAATATTTTTTGAAAATTTGAATCAAATTAACCTTAGCTTAAAGTTTACTTTCGAAATGAGTAATTTAGGTTTATCCTTTTTTAGATATATGAATTATAAAAAGAAGATGGTAAGACTGAAACGGATTTATATTACAAACCAACTAATTCTCACCAGTATTTAGGTTTCTATAGTAATCATCCTACACATAGATACTAAATTAGATATTCCTCTTTGCTTAGCTCAAAGGCCCAGCATGGCCAGGTGGTTAGGGTGCTCTACCCACAATCTGAGGATCGCAGATTCGAATCCCATTCACACCAAACATGCTTGCCCTTTCAGCCGTGGGGGCATTATAATGTGACGGTCAATCCCACTCTTTGTTGGTAAAAGAGCAGCCCAAGAGTTGGCGGTGGGTGGTGATGACTAGCTGCCTTCCCTCTAGTCTTACACTGCTAAATTAGGGATGGCTAGCGTAGATAGCCCTCATGTAGCTTTGCACGAAATTCAAAACAAACAAAGCTTAGCCCAAAGAATTTGTTTTAATGTTTCTAGCCCGGAAGTCCCACAACACAGACTGATAGAATTAAAGTCTTCCCTTAGGAAGTGTCATTATCCAAAAAGTGTAATTAGAGAGAGGTTTCAAGTTAGATAAAATTGAAAAGGAAACTAATTATAATATAAAAGAAGAAGAAATTATTCCTTTTGTAATAACGCTTTACCGTGGAGTTAAAATTAATATTAATGATATACAAAAAGAATTGGAAAGAATTTCACATAAAACTCTAAAAGCTAAGTTAGAAAATAAACAAATCATATTATCAAAAGACAACCTAGAAATTTATATAATATCTTAAAGCAGAGAAATAAATGGAAAAAAATCTGATGAAGGTATTTTTTCCCTTATATATGTGTGGGAAAGGCTATATCACATACAATAAATACATTACAGGCTCTGCTGGGGAGAAGATATTGTTTTATATAAACTTTGGGAGCCTAAATTTAGTTGTAATTCACATAATGTTATTTATGTATTATCTTGTATTTGTTGCTAGCAAATATATTTTGGAGAGATAGAAAATTTACGTTTG